TCTCTCTCCCTCTCCCTCTCCCTCTCTCTCTCTCTCTCTCTCTCTCTCTCTCTCTCTCTCTCTCTCTCTCTTACTGCTTTTGTCTTTCAGCCAAAGCCCTGATCTTAGGGTAGGTAAAATCGAACACCTAGCCTTCTCGGATCATAGAAAAACTAATCTCTGAGGTCACGTGTGCAATTTGCGCATGTTGAAGATTCGTTCGTGGTCCTAAAATCGACGAGTTGGCTTCGGCCGCGACCCGAGCAAAAATAAAAAATTAATCCGAACCAAAACTGAAAATGCTTAATTTGCAAACGACCAACTTGAGTCCCAGGCACTTGCATGACCTTATGCAGTTGTGAGCGCCGCAAAACTCTTACTAAAACATACATTTTTAATATTGAGACAGCAACCGCTATAATTAGTTCGTAACCCTGCAGACACAATACTTCCAAATACAGGTTATCATGGTCTCCGTGGAAAATACACATACGAGTTTTTGTCCTGTAGCTCTCATTATCGTCTTGTTGAATGTTTCGTAAAGGTAGTAAAGAATGTCATAGTTTTGCGATTTTCTTAGTTAAGTAGGTATCTCATGGGAGCCTCGGGCATATTCTGGAGACAAAAAGATGTGAGGCCTCTGGCATTCGTAGAAATAATCAAATCAAATAATAAAATTTCGGCCTGTTCGATACGTTGTATTGAATTTTTCGGGCTCCACCTCTTTTATATCCTGTTAAAAACACATTGTTGTGAGGAATTTTACTGAAAAACGTTGATTAAAAGCACAAAAAGTAAATTTACAGTGTTCAAGGACTCTCAAACTTTGGAAGTCACCAAACTATAACGACCATTTTCTCACTAATTTGACCTCTAGAACCAGGTAACCCTCAACTCATTCAATGGTAAATATCTCGACCTATTTTCAAAATAGATAGGTATTTTTTCATAGAAAGCAAAACAAATAAACAGGCTTTAAGTTGATACCAATAACTCAACATGCCCCAAAATTGACGAGTGCCTAATTGAACCACGTGGTGACTCATATTATGCTATTATACAGGTTGTCCCAATAGCCGTGCACCATCGTGGTATTCATTAAAAAAACAGCTTAAATGAAATTAATTCTCTCAAGAAAGCTGTCTTTCCCACTCCTGGGCGTTTCAGGGGCGATTTTAAATTTTGGGGCCCTGTTGATAGTGTGCCTTTCAAATCGTTAACTTTTATGTGTGAAGAAGGTTTTATCTGGCGCACGACATTTGGGATGCCCTTTACGGCTATACGTAAGCATTTGTGTTGTTTCATTAGATCGGAATTATTGTATGATAACTTTACTTCCATCGTTTTCCTCCCAGGCAAGATTCAAACGACACCGCTACCAACTATGAGACAATCCCTCTTAACGGGTCACTCCGTCATCACACTCTGCAGAGCAACGACCTCGTTATTCCCGAACATTCCAGCATGGGTAATAGCAGTAGCAGCGGAGGTAGTGCTGACGTCATAGTCAGCCAATCATATACCGGCATTGTGGCCGGGCAAGTTCAAACATCTATCGCAGTGCCGCCCTCAAAAAGATTTTCATTCACTGGGAAAGACAGAGAGTTAAAACAGGATGACTACGTGATCACGAATCGAGGTGCCGAAGCAAGGGAGAAAGGAACAGGAGAACGAGAAGGAGACGGAGAAAAAGGCGAGGACAGGGGAGATGGGAACCCTTGCATTGTGTCACGAGATGACAAGACTGCAGCTGCTTTGAGGAAGGCGGAGAAACCGAGGAAAAGCTACGCCCACCAAGTGAATGGGAGGGTCTCTTTTAAACAAGCCCCGCCCTCTTGTGACTGTGATGCTGTGCATACCACTACAGTGAGATAGTGGGTCTACTGCATGGACTGGAATTGTAAAAGTATCCTAGATCGGACACTGTCATGGCCGCCGCTCTTTGCTCTCTATTGAACCTTCTCTGCGCTAAAGAGCACAACGGGCGAACAGCCTCACTGTGGAGTTCGGGGTCAACATTTTCCTTCTTGTGTTACATTTGGTTCCAAATAGAATCAAATGATGCGCTTAGTGGTGAACCGGAAGTATGCCCTATCTTGGGTTTTCGGATATTACAATACAAGCCTTTGGTCTACAGACACTTATAATTGTGAGCTAGGCTGTTGTCTCTGCGGGAAATAATGTTTATATTGACCATCGATAAATCATTGTGTAAATAACTTCATCTGCCATAAAATAATAATAGACTATGTTTTCTGAGCGCAATGGCAATGAGGCCATTTTGACGCCCTAGGAGTGAAAAGTGCGTTCTTGGATTACATCTTCAAAATATGCGGATAAAACGTTTTGTTATTATGTGTATACATTTTCTTGTAGCCTTCCAGTGTTGCAGATGTAGCCTTCCTGGAAATCATAACCAAACGTTCTATTCTTGATCTTGTGAATCAAGTCACCCAAAGCAAAATATTATTATACTTAAGAATGTCGGACAGGTCTGGCTTTAAATAAACGCCTGAAGTGCTGAGATGAAAACTTCAAGTTCTATTCAAGTATTATTCATTTGTATTTTCTTCTTTCTTGTCTGGAAAAGTTGAATGTTATTAAAATGTTTTGCTCCAAACTCAATTAGAATTGTTTGATTTGTAGAAATTCAGTGTTGAATTAATATTGTTTCCCATTCATAGGTTTAATTTGTATCTGATGCCATTCGTTTCTTTTCCTTTTCCAAACCTTTGTTGGTAGCCTCACTGATGTCGGTTGTTGCTCATATTTTGAACAAGTCTGTCTACACTGCCTTCTTAGTTTTGTTGCTGTGCTGCTATTTTTTGTACTTCTTATTCGGTGGTTTTGTTGTGTGTTTTTTGTTGTTAACATTGCTCTTACTGCTTCTACGTTTCTATCGTATTCTCTTAAAAGTAGGTGTTTCTGTTCCCTTTATCATCACAATCTGCATGTTTATGTGTTGGATTTCGGTCCTGATCGTCAAGATACATATATATATGTATGTGTGTGTGTGTGTGTGTGTGTGTGTGTGTGTGTGTGTGTGTGTGTGTGTGCGTGTGTGTGTGTGTGTGTTCGTTAGGAATGGGCTGCTTGTTAATTGTGTATTCAGTTGTGCTTCTGTCGTTTCAATTTACTACTCCTGGATAACATGTATTATCAAAACCTCCAACACATTGCAGAGAATTTTGAGCTGAAGGCAGGTGAGAATTTAGACGCAAATCGGTGAAATGTTTCCCTATTTGTCATGTAGCAGTTGTTGTCTTCCATGAAGTGAACCATAACTATTAACAACTTCAAGTATAGTGTGTCAGCCTGCCTGAGGTTCGAATCCGTACTTGGTACGTATATCTAGTGCACTCATTCTACCATACGTTGACCATTCGCTGCCCTTTCTTGAACACACAATCTTAGCTTAAAATACATTGTCGTTTCTGTTTCTTGAAGTATGGGGTAATTAAAGTAGAACCAAAAACATGAACTTTAATAATAACAAAATTACCACCAACAACAGAAAGTGTGAGGGCAAGAACAATAACAACAATTCTAACGTCTTCAAACTAATAAAGTTGTCTAATGAATTAAAGAATCAGGGTGGGGTGGTTGGCGGGTGCTTTGGTGTGGTTTGCTTCTTCTTTCCTGTCTAACATATATCGTCCTTATCTCCCCTCCTTCTTTTTTATGTTTGTTACTCTCTTGTAACACCTCTAATTTTCTGGCGCTCATATGACCTTATGCAGTTGCTCTACTAAAACAAAACACACAAACGAATCAGGAGCACACAGTTTAATTAATATTTCGGAGCTCAAGAAAAAGAAAATCTATGAGCACGAATTTGGCAACTGCTTGATCCCAAATGAATCATAAGTTCCCTAACAGAATGACATGAAATGCAGATCTTAATTATAAGACAATAATAAGCGGACTCTTAAAAAAAAAAAGTATATTAGAGCATTAAAACAAAGATATACTGTATATAGACCTATATTTTGTTCTTATGGTGCAACACGGCAACTATTCACCAATAGTGAATTACTCTGTGGTTGCATTCCCCATTTATTAATATACCTCTTTTTCTATAATCTGTGCCCAACATTTATTAAGTTTAAAGCTCTAATTTAGTTGTACCTTTATCTAGAGACGTACAGCCAATGCACCGTCTCGAGATCCTTGATAAAGGCCGTTATGTCTGCTACAAGGATATTGAAATAGGTAGTCCAAATTTATTTAAGATTGATCTTCTTTTCTCGAACAACTGCTCCAACACATATCTAGGGGACACGGTTTGTTTCATGTGTTCAAGGTCAATATCGTGGTATTATTATTCAGACATGCATTTCGTCTCACCACCTGCATGTAGTCCGGAATTTTTGCTTCACAACCTTTTTCTTTTGCCTCCCCTCTTTCTTTCTGTCGTCAATTCCTTTCTCTTCGTAATGCCCGTATCTTAAAAGGTTGAGGATGTCGTGTAGCTCCCAGTGTGCCCTTTAAACATGGCGGCGGGGTGCCTTCCGGAAGCACGAAGCGAAAGTGCTGTAACATGGCAACAGAGAGTAGGAAGAGCTCCATCTTAGCCATGGACTCGCCTAGACAGGTCCTTTTGCCTGTTTGAAAAGAAGGGGAGAAAAAGAAAAGAATATACTTTATTTTGGTAAAAACAAGAATTTTGAGTCATCATTGAAACTGAAGGGGCTCCGCTCCGTTAGCTCAGTTTGTATCATGCTGGACTACGGAGTGGATATCAATCGTTCGAATTCCAGACTTGACTTTCTTGAACTCGGATCGTTTGGTGGAGTTTTTAAGGCTCTGAACCCATTTGGCTCTGAGATGGACATTAATTTTGTAGGTCCTGTCTCTTGAATAACCATACATAATAAAGATCGGGGTGTTAAATCCATGCACACAGAGCAAGAAATGTGTGTATGCACAAAGTGATTTGTTTACTCGAAGGAAAGAAAACATCACAAGCGTCTTTAAACTTCTCAAGCACGAAAGAATCCATTTTTCATAGGAATGTCAATATTACTTGATATCCTGGTACAGTAGTCAGACGTTTCAATGCTCATAAAATAGGATCATATTATACAGATTCCTCAATTAAGATTATACCCCTTTTATGGAATAAATGGAATAAAGGTCTACTGGCTTGGGCGGTGGGGGTGGTTGGCGATTGCGTTTCATACAAATCTATGACTTAAGAGGTCCTTTTAAAGGTATAAGTAGTTGACCTCCGAGAGTGCACATGCCAGCTTCTGTGATGTAGTGGTTAGACCTGAGTTCGACTCTCTAGTGGGGAGAAAATATTTATCGAATATCTGTTTTTTTGCTGAGATGACTTACCGAACTCAACCCGGGTTAAACCTGACAGGCATCGTCGAAAGCCTGCCTTCTAGCTCATTTAATTTGGGGAGGGGGGGGGGACTACATTTAAAAAGAGTATACATGGGGAAAAGAAACATGCTAATGGTTAGGCCTATCTCATGTGTCTTCAAGAGGCTGGTCAAGTCCGTTGCATAAAATCATGTGAATAAAATTGTAATATTATTTTATATCTCACCTTGCAAAGTGTTATGGTTAAACTCTTCAACTTTCATGCAAAAGCCATTAGTTCGATTCCCATGAAAGGGAATATAATATCTTATCCAGTGACTGCATTATTTAGCTGGGATGTATATTATGATCGATAGTGCCTGTGCCAGACCTTGAAAGAGAGAGAAAGATAGACAGAGAGAGAGAGAGAGAGAGAGAGAGAGAGAGAGAGAGAGAGAGAGAGAGAGGTGATCCTGAAGTTTTCCACTGTTGCGCGTAGAAGACATGTTTTTAATTACCGTTTTGAGAAGCTATTTTATCAAGTATTTTCTTTTGTCTGCTGGAATGTACGTCACTCAGCAAAGGTTTGTCCTGGTACGCAGAGGCGAAGCTGCCTTTCTCCAAAAAGGTCTACGCTGTTTTGACAAAGGCGTTAAAAATTACAATCAATAGCGCGCTGGTACTCTATCATGCCTCTGATTAATTGAACCAGGAAAAAACATTTTTGTTGATGCTTTTGTTTGTTTGTTTGTTTCGTTTCTTTGGTAATGCAGGACACAAATTTGAACTCTTGATACTTCACGAGGCTAATTGAAAACATTGTTAACTGATGCAACCAAACCTGCCAAAATTGCAATGGGGAAATACTCTGACCTCTCAATACCTTCAATGAATAGTCAAAAGTTACAACAGAAAGTAAAAAAATAATAAAATGATGATGATGATGGTGATGATGATGATGATGATGATGATGATGATGATGATGATGATGATGATGATG